GTACTAAATATACGAAACGTATGCGTATTTTCAACTTATTTTATTGATTTTCTTCTTGCTTAGGACCATTAGTACAAAGCAGATTTGGTTGGGAACATTTCATTATCCTTTTAGTGCTATGAACTTTTGCCAAATAAACTGTTTGGTAAACGCCGCTTTAAACCGCACCTTTAAAATTAACACCATGCTCATGAAATTTTTTAGAAGAGAACTTTCCATGCCCCCTGAGAAACGAGTAAGCTAAAGATTTGTTGAATATAACCAAATAATCTAACTACTATCAAACCATGTGTTAAGAGAACCATATTAAATTGACGTAACAACACGTTTCTCTCAGTGTAGCTGAGCTGACTAAAACCCGATTTATCTAGAAGCGGATCAACTCTCCCCGTTTCGTTGCCAGCATCAAATCGCTATAATTTGCATAGAAATAAATGAGGGTTCAGTGTGGACAGTACTATTTCGACTAAAGAAGTTTTTCTAGTAAATTGACACATCGAAGGACAATTTAAACTTCTCAGAATTCAGCTTGACCGAAAAACAGTACTCTAGTCTTCGTTATAACTTCAAAACTACGGAATACCCATATTTAAGGTGTTGCCCATAAAATCCATATTAAGAAATGTACTCACATCAAATTCAAAAGAAGTCAGTGCCAATTCTGAACTTTTGTCAAATTTTAAGTGGAAGTAAAAGCCGAAATATGTGCGTAAGTATACAGGGTGTTCTACAACACCAATCTACCCCATCTAAAAAGGAGGAACATGTTTTTATTGAAAAGCGGACCTACCAAATCGGGGATGCTCTATCTTTTGGTAGCATTATCGACTTCCGGTTTCGACCGGAAGTGGGTTAAACCCACCGGAAGTATATTTTTTTAAATTACCCTTGCATGTTTTACTACAGATTCAGATTCAGAGAATAAAAATGCGTAACTCTTATTCGAAACTTTTTTCTCGAAAGTACATTTTTCAAGTTTTAATTGGACTTCGAACTTCAACTCGTCCTGGACTTCTGAAATTAGTGAAAATGTTTTTATGGAAAAACGAAAAAATATGAGTCGCCAAGTCGAGCATGCTCTAACTTTTGGTAGCATTATCGACTTTTGGTTTCGACCGGAAGTAGGTTAAACTGACCGGAAGTACATTTTTTTAAAATAGAATATACATATTCTTGCCATAGATTCTGAGTTTGCGCATAAAGATACATAACTATTGTTGGAAAATTTTTTCTACAACGAACTTACGGTTAAAACAATATACTTCCGGTCTGTTTAACCCCTTCCGGTCGAAACCGCATACGCATAGACAAATTTCATGAGGAATAATTGTGTGGGACATTTTAACCCATTAGCCTTCTCACCCATTTTTTGGAATGTCTGAATAAACAGGAACAAAAAACGAATATGTCACCTTGAAATATGCAATAACTTCTTTATGCTTTCCGTTATGTCTTGTAAATAAACATAACTCCTGCTTTCTTCGAGAGTGATGGTCCAAACTTTCACACATGATGTCCGAATGTGACTTTCTGATCTGCACTGAGATTCTGGAAATAGCTTCGCTAAATTTCTATCGCTAAAAATCTAAAAATGAATAAGGTTTGTGCTTAAAAATATACAACGCTTCCAGGGAAAGATAACATATCCATAATGCTCCTGTGAACTTTTACGTTCTTAGTATAAAGATATTGTCTGAGAATACCTCTAGTGAAATTTCCGGAGCATAGTTTTTTAGCAACCTCCCAAATGCGATTTTAACCAGGCTCTCCAAAAAGGGGTTAAAACGACCCTTTTGTGAGAGACCTAATTGGTTAAACAATTCCACAAAATTATTGCCGTGAAATTTTATTTTATGTATTCGAACTGCGTTATGAATTTTTACCCTTCTTCTATTTTTTCTAAAAACACGCAGGAAAAAAATGCAAACTTACCGGGCAATTCTGGCAACTGTCTTTCAGCTCACCACAGTCAAAACTTTTTAAAAAATTAAATTAACAGGGCAATTATGGGTAAGATAGTAAAAAGTCTTTCGTAAAACAAATGAAAGACAGATGACAAGGTAGTTCGAAAGACTTTTCTTATTCTAGCACAACAGTCCTAGAAAAAAGCACTCTCATTCACCACTCGTGGTGAAAAGCTTTTTTTGACAGAAAGCGCTCCAACAGCCACGATGGCCGAATGGGCACAGCACAGGCGTGACATTCGAAAGATCTGAGTTCGAGTCTTGTGCAGCGACATTTTTTCTCTTTCTTCAAATAAATTTTTAATTTTATTAGCTTATTTTTAAATTTTTTGTTTTTAAAAAAGAAAATATATTTTTTAATTGGATTAATTGTTAGAAAGTTCTTGTATGTGCTTTTTTATTTTTTAGAATTTTTTTTATAATTTCATTTAATCTTTAGGAACTTATTTTATTTTTTCTTTTTATATTCAACAATTTGTATGAGCTTGAGGCCGTTTTAAAGTGAAAACTTATTGTGGAAAAGCAACAATAATTTGAAAAAATGGTAGAAGTGATAGCTATTTCGGAAATCACCACATTTCCTCATCAGAATTCTTTCAGTAGGATTCGAACCGACGATCACCACTGACTCAGCCAGTTGCCTACGCACTGTGCTAGTTTGTCTTGTTAATTCTTGATGCTTATTTTTTCTTTTTAGATAAATTTTTTTCCGTCATCCCTTGTCAAATCGTTCCACAATACATCATACCATGATACAATAATTTTTAGAAGGTAGTTTCACTTCAAAATTTTTGACATAAACCGTGTCTGTGACAAACACGCAATGTGGCCACTGCTACGATATAGAACTTGGGGATTATCGCTTGTTATTTTAGATATTTTTTAACAGAACATGTAAAGATTTATATGTTTCATAACTGATCACTTAATTTTTAATATAAATACACGTATTTTGTTCATACATTTTTGCCACAGCTAATCACATGAATAAAAATCATAAAAATGAAAATATAACAGCAATATTTCTTGTTTATAATGGATTAGATCCATCGCACACCACGGACTTTATCGGCCGCCAATTTAGATGTGCTCGCTAGTCTTTCCATTGCACCACAACTTATTGGTCAGAGCGATTAAGCTGGTGTAATGTGCGCACCTCCATACATCTTCATGTACATATTTCAAGCGAGCCCTATCATTTAAATAGGCGGCCGATAAAGTCTGTGGTGTGCGGTGGCTCTTATAGCTGTGTCCTTACATCTATTCCGTGTGTTGCAATATCCACGAAAGCAGCAGTTAATTTTTTATGAAGAAAATTATTACAAAATATTCGAAAATTTCTCTACTTATATGTTTGGCTTTTCTTTGTTTTATTTTTCCAACGTCAAAAGCTGGATTTTTTTTTTGAAAAAGTTGGTACAACAAAAAATACGAAACACGTTTTCTGTCAGATAGCTAACATGGCGGATAAGAAGAAGAAGTGAAACTACCTTCTAAAAATTATTGTATCATGCATCATACTCCTACACTGTCGGAAACACAAACAACCAAAAAGACGTAATTTTTTTTCGTTTTTACTTTACTTTTCTTTTAATTTTTAGATTTTTTTTTTAAAGAAAAATATATTTTAAATGTGATTTGATTTGTAGAAGCTTATTTTATTTATTTATTTTCTTTTTCAATTTAAATTGTTTTTCTTTAATTGATTTCATTTTATTTTAGTTTTTAGAATTGCTCTAAAAAGAAAAAAAAATCCTTTTTATTTCATTTTATTTTATTTTTTGTCTTTTTTAATTTAATTTTTAGATTTTGTTTTAAAAATATTTTTTTTTTTGTAATACATATTTAATTTTTAAGAACTATTTACTTTTTTTATTTAACTTTGTCCTTTTACTAATTTAATTTTTAGATTTTATTTGTTTATTTATTTTTATTTATAAAAAAAATTGCTTTTCCTTCATTTCATTTTTAAAAATATTTTCTATTTATTTTTTTTATGATAATATTTTTTCTTTATTAATTCAATTTTATTTATTTATTACTTTTTATTGATTTAAAAGGAAATATGTATGATTTTTAATTTAAATAAATTTTTTAAAAACTTATTGATTCACGGGGAAGAGCATACCGTTAAGACCTCATCGTTAGCAGACCTTTCAATTAGTATTTCGAAAGGCAGTAAATCGCTTTCGAGATAACTGAGACCATTGACAATTGTCTTACGAAAGACTTTTGTCTTTCAAAAGATTGTAGTGAGTTGAAAGACAGCTGCCAGAATTGCTCTGTTAATATGGCCACAAAAAAAATTTGACCTGAGCAAGCACAGTGATTTGGAGGTGTTACCATATGGGCCTAGGTCTCTCATCCTGCGCTGGAATCATTTCGCCCCCAAAAATGCTGTTACACTGTGTTATCAGATATGTGTTCTATTGCATTTGATAGATTGTAGGCCAAGCAAAAGAAAGTTGACCCACCTCTAAGTGCCGACTGTATACTTTTCAAACTTAGATTATTAAATATTCATAAACTTTCTGTGAACTGAAACATGATTCGGAATTAAAATAATGTACATACATATATACTCGATAAATTCACAATGGAATTTTAAAATTTTCACTATGTTTGAATGTATGTGCATACATATAACTATGTACATATGTAAGTATATACATACATATATTATTACTAAATGTGGACACTTCAAATCGCGTCGATTTTAAATGAGGCCAAACGAACTAAGGTGCGATTATAATTGGAACAGCTTGGGTATGGTCAAGTCACGATAAGCTAAATAAATGATATAGTTATTGTGTCACAATTGTCGTTAATGATTTTGGCACCAATTCTCGCCAATTGACCTACTCAGTAATGAATTATGGCGATTTACTGAATATAAACGTGCTTTCGTGCCATTCGTTCGTTCTTAAGGATGTCAGTGTAAAAGGACTTTGATGCGGAAATAGAGTCCAATTAAATACATATTTTCTTAGCAGTTTAGTTGAATATAATAAATAAAACATAAAAATTTGAACTCACATTACTGCTCGCCGCGCTTTCCTTAAAATTTTCATAAACGTCTGGTGGTGATTGAAACGCATGCCTTCGCGTGCCACTACCTTCCGTCGTTCGAAAACTGTTAAGAAATATCAAATCATAATTTTAATTAGCCACATTTCAACTTATACTATTTAGGATCACCAAAATCGTTCAACTCACTTTCCGCACGGCGTTCCCATGGCTATACTATCGACATCCGATGAATTATGCGCGGGCAAACAACGAAAGCTGCGTCGCGAGTTGCGACGCTTTAAAGAGCTCGGCGAAACTGAACCTACACCCGCCACAATCCATTCAATATCAGCGCCCATTTGTCCGTTGACTGCGTCCGTTGCTTCCGCCGAATGTGGCGATGGCACACGCAGCGCGTACTGTACCTGTCCATCAGCAGCGACGAGGGGCATTTGCTTGCGTGAAAGTCGCGTACGCACCGCGGAAAGCAATGCTGGGCCATCTTCTCGTGCGGCAGCCAAACCTTGTACCACATCCAGTACAGCGCGTGTATTGGTTATTTGTCCTAAAATAGCGAGCACATCTAAAGCGGCTTGACGCACGCGACGCTTGCGATTTAGGGCGGTATATGTGGCATGGGTAACGCAGGTGGTCATGTCAAAGCAAGTGCTAGGAAAGGTCATCAGCGAGTACATAACCATTTTGAGCGCGTGTTCACGGAACTGTGTGCAGGGGGAGAGAGAGAGCGTTATTCAAGTGAAATTTTACACAAAACGCAAAGAAGTCAAAAAGAAAGAAATTGAAAGAAAGAAGAATGGAAGTTCATCAATTCTAGTGATACCAAGTAGCCAGCCGCACTTAGCCACATCAATAAAAGAAAAAATGAGCGCACTTTTGTGCCCATTGTCACAACTGGGCCAGCTTGTTAATATGCAGGCATTTAATAATTTCTCAAAGTAGTAGTGCTGCGGTCAGCAGACCAACGCGGCCATTATCGCTGTTGGTCAACCTGGTTCTCATGTTTGCTTTCACTTGTTGATTGCACTTACCCTTGAGCTCTTTGCATGTAAAAATTCTTGCGACAATAATTTGAGTACAATTGCCGCCGCCGGCAGTCGATGCATCAATGCTTTGCATACGGGATTCGCTCCAGCCCCACCTTGGCGACACAGCCCGGTCATTATTTGTGTTGTACGATCCTCCAAGTTATCGAGTGGCAAACGCGTTATGAGATTGATTAGCAGTTGTTGCTTTGCCTCTGCCACGTCTGGATTACGTTCAGAGAAGAGTAAAGTACGAAGCAAACTATCCAGACACGGTTGAACTTGTGCTAGTGTATCGGTGTTACGCAAAGCTTCCTCGAGTTGGGCAACGCCCTGCAGGCGGTGATACCAGTCCTAAAAGATTGAACGAAAGGAGATTGTGTGTAATATGCATAGAAATATGCAGGACAAAAAAAAAAACATTATGTAGATACTGTGAAATTTACGCTTATCGTATATGATATTTTGTTATATGTATATTTAAAAAAAAATTAAGTGCGCCTGGGCCACACTGGAGATGTGAAAATTACCTTACATATCTAGGTTGTGTCATAACCAATATACATACATACATATGTACATACATACATACATAAATTTATCTGCTTTTGCTTAAGGTTATATTTTTGTCTTTTTTATATCTAGATCTCTAAATCTACCGGTTCATCTAATTACATTTATGTTATTCTGTTTTCCTCGACATTCTGTTCTGTTCTGTTTATATCGACAATAAAATCGATAGTAACATCCATCAAAATATCGATGAAAGAAGATCGATACAAATATCGATGGCGAATTCGATGAAAGTATCGATAACAATATCGATAGCAAAACCGATAAAAATGTCGATAAAAAAATCGATAACAAAATCGACAAAAAATATCGGTAACAAAATCCATAAAAATATCGATAACAAAATCGGTAAATACCGATAACAACATCGATAAAAATATCGATAGCAAAATCGATATACAATATCGAAACAAAATCGATAAATATCGATAACAAAATCGATAGAGATATCGAAATCAATAAAAATATCGATAACAAAATCGATAAAAAATCTCGATGACAAAATCGAGAGAAGTATCGAAAGCAAAATCGATAAAAAAAAAGAAATAGTTCCCAGATTGAGTCTTTGTGTCTCTATTTACATATGTTGATATATCCTTTTCTTTACCTTGGTATTAATCTTTCTTCCCTTTATCTTTATCTTTACCTTTATGCTTAATAGTTTCTTCATGTAAACCTTCACGTTTGCCCTTAGATACATAAGTAAAGTGTTTAAATTTACCTAGGTCTTCATTTTTGCCTTTATCTTTACGCATCTTTGTTTTTATTTTTACTTTTTTACTTATTTATCCTTTTCCTTATCTATGTACGTACTGACCTTTACTTTTATTATTTTATTGGTATTTATCTAAGTTAATCTTCTATTAGCACATTTTTGTTAAATGAATACCATGCACAACATTTAAGAAGCGCTTGTTTCCCTCCCAACCATTTCCGTGTGCAATTTATGTTGAATTTGTCAATTTACTCCCAACCAACCAACCGCCGCTACAAAAATCAAGATAGGTTTGGTGAGAAAGTGCGGCGTACACAAATAAGCCAGTGTGTACGAAAAGCAAAAAATAAATCATGGAGAACTTATGTCTTAACTTAGAGAAAACAAACGAGGCTTAGGCATTTCGTTACCAAAAATCCAAGCGCGTCTTGCCTTATATGTTAGAGTGGCCGGGACTTTCAATAATGTCTCAAGTGAAGCGATTATAAATACTAGGATTGTCAGTTACTGTCAAAATTCGACCGTTTTTCTTTTCAAACATAGCGCGTCGATTAAGTTATAATTCACAAAATTACTCAAAAGAAAATCTTCTGCTTTGAAAGTGACTAAAAATTGTTATAACCTTTTTTTTAATATTTTATTAGCGTTACAGTATAACGGGGAAACAGTTTCTTTATAACCAATGTTTTTTTTTATAAAACCCCTTTGGGCGTCAAAAAAATGACCTTGGAACGAAGTCTACTGGCACAACGGTCCATGAGAAAATACAGGCCATACAAGAAGCAAACGAGTGCCAAAACAGGGCGAATGAATGCGAGGAATTAATATTCGCAAGCTTCATGAAATGCCACTTAAAACTTCTCTAGATAGAGTTTTTTTTTTGAAAAATTATCATTATCAGAATTAATTTTAGCAATGAGACCCGCATTTTTTTTTTGCTCGAAAAAAATTTATGGTCGACTTATAAGCTAATTCTGTTCTTCAGATAAAAATCGATATCTGGTATTTTTTTTCAAATGCCCATAACTTTGTTAAAAATTAATGGATTTCAACCTTTTTCACTCAATTGCTAGTAATTGTTGCCACTTTAAGATGGAATGACGAAATAATCGATTTTTATTTATATTAATTTTTTATTTATTTTTATAAATTTTTATAAAAGTTATGCAAAAACCATAGTTTTTTTTTCTTTCATACTAAATATTTCACAAAAAATAGGCACTTTGAACTACAATGGAGCTAAATCTCTTGTAGCAAAAATTTTTTTTCAGAGATATGATTTTTTTAGTAAAAATAAATTTTTGAAGTAAATTTGTTTGAGTATGCAGATTTTTTAGCCTATTAAATGCTAGTATAAGATATGCAAGTTTGGAGTTAGCCAAAAATCGCGTTAATTGTTGAGAATTTTTTTTGTTGAAGGTGGTTTGCATTTTTTCCATACAAAGTATTTTCGAATTTTCAGATCGAGCGATTTATAAATTTATTAACAAGCTATTTATTGCATATGCAGCCTAAAGAATTCAAACCAATGAGGCTTTCAGCCTGACAGGTTTGCATATTCCATTCAAAGCTGGTTACGTTAGGAATGTCTACTGCGAAGCATGGTCGCCTAACGGGGCAAGCACTCTACAGAGTTTGCACTCCATGAGGTCGTGACACGGTAGCTTTATTTCGGGAAAAATAACAACTTACGTTGGCGCTTTCTTGGATATAGAAGGAGCATTCAATAACTTCTGTTTTGAGGGGAGATAGGAGTCACTCAACAACCAAACGATTGCGGAATTCTCGGAAAAGTGAATTTCAACCATGTTCGCACAAACAATGTCACCAGGTATCCAAAGCGTGAGACTTTCCAAGGCGGTCGTTCCCACGACAGCTAGGTTTACGCAACCAGAACGAGTGAAATCTATATTTGGCCAAGGACTGTTGATTTCCGTGCTGTGGCTTTCTGCATTAAACAACACAATATTAAGGCTTAAATGTGATGGGGTAAGCATTTTTACGGACTCAGAATGCTTTAGGTATTATGGATCCTTGTTTTGCATAAATATGATACGCAAAGAAAGAGCACTAGGGGAATTAAGAAACGCGCAGAAAACTACGGACTCAACGTAAATCCATTGAAGGCCGAAACACTTTTATTCACCAATAATAAATGGGCTCAAAGTTTCAACTCATCTTTCATAAATGGGCATACTCTTACGCTTTCATGCAGCGTTAAGTATTTGGGAGTCAAAGTAATACAAATTATTGGCGCTTATAGAATAAGTTGGATATAAAAATTTTCGGCCACCTCCGAACCAGAAATGAACTTTTATGAGAAGCCTTTTCAAAGCAGAAATACACGCGGAGGTTTTCCACAGCCTACCGAGGGGCGGCCGCTGTTTAGAAAAAACTTTTTTTCTGTTTTTTTTTTGGAATGTAGATTTGACCAAGAATCGAACCTTGGTCTTACGGAGTGCTAGTGCGCACCTCTAACCACTTGGCTACAGCGAGCGTTGCTGAAGATAAATAACGTAGATTCTCCAGATTCCTCTGTGGCTGGGATGTATTTATTGCTTGAAAATATCAAGGCATCCACTAGAACTAACTCATTGGTGACTTAATTTTCAGCAAAGTTTCGATGATCAAGAGTGACTCTAGAGAGGCTCATTGACGAATATATTCGACGGAATATACAAAATGACAACCTCTACTCGAATCAGCATGCATATATATTTCTAGCATGCATATATCGATGATTAAAAAAGGATTGGCCATCATGGAATACACGCACTCAGTCTTATAAGATCTGGTCCGGAGGAATGTGGACTTAGTGTCAATCCTAACAAGACCGAAATGGTACTTTTCACAAGGAAGTATAAAACTCCTCTATTGAAACCTCCCACCCTAAACGGGGTGGTACTTATTTTCTCCACCGAGGTGGAATACCTTGGAGTTATAGACAAAAAATTAGGATTAAAACCACTAGATGTACACAGCTGTGATTAGACCCATCCTTTTCTATGGCGTCGCCCGGCGCAAAATAACACCTTGTCCAGAGTGAAGGAGTTACGAGTACAGGGCACGGCTGTCATGCCCACTGCACCCACCAAATCTCTGAAAATAATGTTAAATCTTCCACCTGTGGATCTCTACGGCAAATTTGGGGCACGCTGTAGTGCGGCCAGGTTAAATATGATCTAGGCGTGGAGAGACCGCAGATTCGAACACGCAAAAGTACTTGTAACTCTACCGGATAATCTACGACAGTTAGATTATACCACTCCTCTACTCTGTTTAGACAACAAATTCTCCATAAGAAACCCGTAGAGGAACGAATGGGAAGGGGCCACAGACTTAAACCTAGGGTCGACGGCTATATATACAGATGGTTCCAAGCTTAACGAAAGGGTGGATAGCAGGATTTACTCCGGTTAACTCGAGCTAAGACTCAGTTTCCGCTTACCTGACCATTGTAGCGTTTTCCAAACAGAGCTAAACGCCATAATGGAGACCGCTTGGAGGCTCATAACCTTCGCCTTTCCGGGATGGCATATCGCCAATTATTGCGACAGCCAGACTGCTGTCAATTGTCTTAAATAAAGCGGAACAACGTCCAAAGTAGCTTGCTGGAATCAAAATGCTTCTTGACTGTTGTATGGGTCCCTGGACATAAGGGCATTCCTGGAAACTGTTTAGACGACGAGATAGCAAGTCAATTCTGCTCAAAATGTGGGCATACTTCTAACCAGATGCAAACACAGATAAAAGTCGAACTCATCGAGGAGGTAAATATCAGGTGGGCTGTGGAATCCACCTGCCATACTACTGATGGGCACGCACTGAAAAAGGTTAGATTACGCCACCAACGCTTTTTGACGCAGTTGCAGATACGAGGAGGAGCTGGAAAGCATCGCACATTATCTCTGCCTTTGTCCCACCCTGGCCAACACGCACAACCAATTCTTCAACAGGCACTTTTTAGATTGTTTAGCCGACCTGAACTGGGCGAACGATCTCGACCCTTTTGTGCTATATAAAACGCACTTGGTGGTTAAATTACTAAGGGAGAGAAAGAAACAAA